CCATGAGCATCCCACCCCAGCCATGGGCATCCCCAGCCCCGAGCATCCTTAGCCCTGAGCATACCACTCTAGCCATGGACATCCCACCCCCAGGCCTGAGCATCCCTCCTCATCCCTGAGCATCCCCTGCTTACCCTAAGTATCCACACCCAGCCCTGAGCATCCTTAGCCTTGAGCATCTCCCTCCAGCCACGGACATTGCTCCCCAGCTCTGGGCATCCTCAGCCCCACCCTTGAGCATCCTCCTCTGCCCTGAGCATCTCCCCCTCACCCTCAGCATCCTCTCCTCAGCCATGAGCATCCTCATCCCTGAGCATCCCCGCAGCCCTCAGCATCCCCACCCAGTTGTGGGCATCCACCCTTTATCCCTGAGCATCCCCCCCGCCCCCCACCTCAGTATTTCCCCCCTGTCCTGAGCATCCTGAGCATTGCCTTCCTCAGCCCCAGCTGGGTTTAGATTGGAAAAAGCCTTGCTGGGTCCTCCCAGGGGGTGTTTGACCAGGAATGTACTGCTGCCTAGGGAAGTGATCACAGCCCCAAGCCTGACAAAGCTCAAGGAGCATTTGGACAATGCTTTCTGGCACATGGTGGGAATTGTTGGGGCTATGCAGGGACAGGAGTTCCTGTCCCAGGAGACTGATCATCCTTATGAGCCTCTTCCAGCTCAGGAATCATTCCATGATTCTCTGGGATGTTGTGGGAGCAGAGCAGGCTGTAAATTCTGCTAACCTCAGCCTTGTCTCAGTAGCTTAAAGGAACTTGTTTGTGGGGTGGCTTTTGTCTCAGCTCAGTGTCCAGATGTTTGAGTCCCAACTCCTGGGAGATTTGGCAGCCTGGGAGCTGGAATTAAAGACTTGGGGGCTCTTTTTTGTTTCACAAGAGGGTGAAAATGTTTGTGTCCCCATCTCTGGGTGTATCTTCAGGGGCATGTTTGTGGCATCTTCCCTTGGACTTCAGAACACAGGTGCTTGCAAAACACTTGGGGTTTCAGTGATACATGCATCATTTCTAAAGAGTATAGTTCTCCTGCATCTGTTTGAGGTGATGTTTTCCTTGTACCCATAAGAATTTGATGGCTTTCCTTTGGAACAGTAGATTAAGCTGTTGAGTGAATGCTTTTAGGGCAGTTTAGGTTTCTGCAGATGTGCCCAGCTCTTGGTGTCTGAGCTCCCAGAGCTCGGGGAAGCATCCTGCTCCCAAGGCATTCATGTCCTCCCAGCAGTGTTCTGCAGATGCTGAGGGGTAGAAAAATAAGTTGTTGGTAAGGGAAATAGACTGAATCCTTTAGTGAGAAACCACTGAGCAGTTCCAGCAGGATTTCTGCCCCTGTGTGCCCTCATTTCCTCCCTCTGCATGGCATCAATTCATCCTGGTCATCTCTGTGAGCTGCTCTCTCTGTTGCTGAGATGTTACTTGGAGAATTGTGGCCTGGAATCCTTCATTTGCTCCAGTTTTCCTCAAGCAGGGACATTATGGATTACCAGAGAGGCTTTGAAATCTCAGGACAGGTTGCTTCCCTGGAAAGCTAAATCAGGGAGAGTTTACAGAGATTCGTGTTTTAACTATTCCCTTTTTTTGCCCTTCTCATTTCTTGGGAAGCTCTTCCCGACCTCTCCAGGACCATGCACAATTACTGAATTGGGAATGGTATGGCTGCAGTCCCCCAGCCCCTGGAGATTTCACCCATTTTTTTACCACACACTGCTGCTGCTGCTGCTGGAGCCAAACTCTTGAAGGGTTTGCAAAGCTCCAGGACTAAAACCACTTCCTGAACACCAACTGCTGTCACTGCCTTCCCCTCCTGTGCCCCAGAAGTTCCTTTCCAGTGTCAACTGAGAGCTCGGTCAGGGATTTTGAAGAGAGTGGGGTCCAGAATTCCTTCCTCCCAGGCAGAGGCTGAACTGGGAATGTCCCAGATTGAAGGATTCCTGATGTTGGCAAGGGGAGGAGGTGCCTTTCTTTTCATCCTTGTCACAGAAAATGCAGAAATATTGTTCCTCTTCAAGAGGTTATACACTGCTACTCCTCTTGCAACTGCAACAAGATACATTTTTTACTCTATTATTGATGTTTGTACTGCCCAAAGTGTACCATAAACTATTTGAGGAGTCAAACCAGCTATCCAGAGGATGCCACAGGCTAAAACTGGGCAGGATGTAAAACAGCAGAAGAAATAAGCCAGAGGAGAAAAAAAACAGTTGAGTTTGTGCAGTGTCTTTCTTTTGAGATGGTAACGGCTTGGAATTCCTCTCATAGGGCTTTTCTGTGTCTCCTGAGGAAGCTTTGTGATGGGATTCACTTGCCTTGGATTGGAAGGGACCTTAAGGATCATCCAGTCCCAGCCCCTGCCATGGGCAGGGACACCTTCCACTAGACCAGGTTGCTCAAAGCCATATCCAACCTGGCCTGGAACACTTCCAGGGATGGAGCAGCCACAGCTTCTCTGGGCAACCTGTGCCAGTGCCTCACCACCCTCCCAGGGAACAATTCCTTCCTAATATCCCATGTCACCCTGCCCTCTGGCAGTTGGAAGCCATTCCCCCTTGTTCTTACTCTGTCCCAGGCTTCCTGGATTTCTGGGATCATGGTAGTGTCTCAGCTCACTTTGCCTGGAGATTTTCCCTTCTGTGCAAACCCATTCTGTGAGCAAAGCTTTAGAAAGTTGAGTTGGGGCTTTATTTCTTGATCCCTGAGCTTTTCTCATTGGTGTTTTCAAACCATTCTGTCTTCAAATAGATCCAGAAATCTGTTAGCTTTCTTTGGGAGAAGAGAAGGAATTTTGTTGTAAGCCTTGATTCCTCTTGGGCTTGAGGCAGAAAACCCACTTGTGACAGGATTGATTAAAAACTTGTGCATTGACACTGAGAGAGGTTCATTATGCTTTGACACTGGGTAAGCCCTGCTGTTCCCAAAAGGAAAAATTCTGGTATTAAATATGTATCCATAAAATATACCACAAGGACAGAATATCTCCCTGCAGCCACATCTGATTGCAGGATTCATTTCTTGGTGAATCCAGGAGGAAATGAGGTTGTGCTGCATCTCCACTAAGAGTCCATTCCCATCTGGCCAAGCCTGTTGGCGTTCCTTCCGCTCCTTCTGGAGAAGGGGATGCTGCACCTGGGAGTAGAGAGGCCAAGTCTGGATGGGTTTCTTTGAAGCTTCTTGATTATCTGTGGGATAAGGAAAGAGGAGTTGGTTGGTTGTGTTATTACTCAGATACTTCCAATTCACTACTTAGGAAAAAAGGCGTTTTTTGATGCTCCCAATACTTTAATCTTTGGGAATTGCAACTGCTGCAGATGCTTTTATAAGGAAAAATAGTTGCAATTATTCTTCTCTATCCTCTCATGGCAAAAGGTTTGGCTTCCAATTTTCATGTGTGCTAATTAACCCTGGAAGAAAATGGTTCCAAAAAAGCAGCCACCTGAAATGCTTTGTACCTCACACTGATGGGAGAGCTCTGTCCCAATTCTCCATGATTTCTAAATCTTTCTGGCTGTTGCTTTTGTGCCTCATAAACCTCACGTGCACAGGCAGTGACATTAATGTGTGCCCAATAATTCATACCTGCAGAGCCTGGAGGATAATTGGGCTTTTCCCTAGGAGGGTGGAGGGGAAGGAGATCAAGTTTTACATCTGATTTCAAATGGGTTTGTTCTTTCCAGGGAAGGGAAAGGCGTTGGTAGTTAATCAATCCGACTTGGGAGCTGTGGGTGCAAGAAATAACATGAGGGATGTTGAAGGTGGCCTTACAGGCAGCTAAAATTCCACCTCCAGTCACTCAGCTGCTGTGTCACCAGAAAATAATATTGTTCAGGGAAAGATTAACCCTTTGGAAAAGCTGAGCTGATGTGTCTGGGAATTGTTAGTGAGGCACCCATTTCCAAGGAAAATATGATATGCAAGAGCCACAGAGGCTTTTGGTTTGGTTCTGAAGGCAGGTTTGACTGAAACTTCATATCCTTTTTGTGCCTTTTGATTCTCCTCTTGTATATATTTGGGGTTCTTAATTTTCCTCCTGTCATCCGTCCACCAAGAGTCCATGTGGAAAGTGGGAATACATTCCAGGGCAGAAATTCAGTCACAACTGCCACTTTCTGTGGAGGGCAGTGGGAGCAGCAAATGTAGGAGCAAAATTGGAGTAAACCTGTGGTTAAAAGTCACTTCAAACCTGTGACAAGATGTGTAAGCTGAAACCTGCAAGGGGAATGTTGGTGCTGAGGTGGCTGAAACCTGGAAAGGAAATGGCTATGTTGGTACTGAAGTGGCAGAAACCTGGAAGGGGAGTGGGAATGTTGGTGCTGAGGTGACTCTTGGTGTGATATGGATGTGCAACAGGCCACAGATTCCCTCTGTCCCCAGTCAGGTTCTCCCAAACAGGCAGCTGCTTTCTTGTTTGCCTCACTACAGGAACAAGTGCATTGGGATGATAGGTTAATCCATGCCAAAATTCCCCTCACTCCCTTTGGTTTCCTTTGCAGTGGAAGATTGATGACAAACCAGTAAAGATTGACAAATGGGATGGTTCTGCTGTGAAAAATTCCTTGGATGATTCTGCCAAAAAGGTACATTCTGCCACTCCTGGTTTCTTCCTCTTGGGAATCTCTATTTTCTTTCCTCGTTTTTTGGGTTGGCTGTGCCTGTTTCCATTCCAGGTCTGTAGCATCTCGTGTGATTCCCATGGGTAAAGCAGTGTTTGAGCTTTATCAGGATGTCTGACACACACATTAACTCTCCATAAACTTTCTGCTCAGTTTACCTCTATCATGGAATTGTTTCCTCCAAACCCTTCGCAGGACCAGTTTGTCCAGCTCATGACAAGCACAGAACAAACTCAATTGCCTGTTCCTCCCTCAGGTTCTCCTGGAAAAGTATAAATATGTGGAAAATTTCCATTTGATCGACGGTCGCCTCATCATCTGCACAATCTCCTGTCTCTTCGCCATTGTGGCTTTGATCTGGGATTACCTGCACCCTTTTCCTGAATCCAAACCCGTCCTTGCCTTCTGTGTTGTATCATATCCTTTACAGATGTTGTCTCTACCAAAAGGGTTTGATTTTCCATGTGAAGAAAACCCTTCTCTGTATTCCTGTCTTTGGGACTGTGGGAGTTTTACTTGCCATGATGTGGAGATCAGCTGATAATCAGGCAGTTATCATGGGATGGGAAAATTCCTGCCTGTCTGGCTGTAATGCCCCTAAATTTGGGTGATCTGAGGGCAGTGGTGCAGTTCAGGTCAGGGCAGTCAGCAGCTGATCTGCTGTCCAGGCCTCAGACACCGACTGTGCAGAGACTCCTCTGCTTTGATGGGTTTATCCCAAAGGGGAGATCAGCCCTGGCAAGCTTCCAAGGGGATGTTGTGTGCTTTGGCTGATTTTCTTTATTCTGTCCAGTCTGGTTGCACAGATATCTGCTCTTCCCTCTGCTTCACTTTTCCCTCTCAGTACCTGACCTGTGGTATTAGGGAATTGTTGCAAGCACCCCTCTGCAGAGGGATCTGGCAGGCTGGATCCATGGGCTGAGACCACTCCAAGCCCCATCCAACCTGGCCTGGAACACTTCCAGGGATGGGGCAGCCACAGCTTCTCCAGGCAACCTGTGCCAGTGCCTCACTACCCTCCCAAGGAAGAATTTCTTCCCAATATCCCATCTAACCCTGCCCTCTGGCAGTGGGAAGCCATTCCCCCTTGTCCTGTCCCTCCAGGCCCTTGTCCAAAGTCCCTCTCCAGCTCTCTTGGAGCCCCTTTAGGCCCTGGAAGAGGCTCTAAGGTCTCCCTGGAGCCTTCTGGACAAGAGAAAGGAGACAGGGGAAGGAGGAATGAGGGGTAAAGCAAAAATCCTGTGAGTCCTTGTCCCAGCTCAAACATATCCCATGCTGATGTGGCATCAGCTAAGCATCCTGCTTGGAACTGGAGTGTCAGGAGAGGTGCCTGAGGGCATCCAAGCAACTTCTCTGCCTTATTTCTCCTTCTACTTGCAACTTCTGATTTCCTTGACTTTCCTGGCACGTATTTTGTGATGATGGGAATCCTGACCATCTATACCTCATACAAAGAGAAGAGCATTTTCCTCGTGGCTCACAGGAAAGACCCTGCAGGGATGGACCCCGATGACGTCTGGCAGCTGTCCTCCAGTCTCAAACGGTACCACTGGCTCTAGCAGCCTGTGCTTAGCCACAGGGCACCATTCCCATCCCTCTCTCTACAGAGGATCACCCTAAATACTTCCTTTCCTTCTTAAACCTACAAGTCAATGTCTCACCCATCAAAATCTATGTCCCGGTCTAGAAATGGGAGCGGTGCCAAGTGGTTATCTGCCACAGATATTTCCCTTCTCTTTAATCCCCCAATTTAATCACATATAAAAGTCTTTAATTTTGTTAATTGTAGCTGGTAGTGTCCAGGTGTGAGGACCTCCAGTGCAATAGGGTTTTCCCCTTAGATAAGAGGAGGATTTCTTTTTCCTCAGCTCTTTGTTGGTGCCTCAGCTGAGCCCAACTGAAATCGGCCCTGAACTCTCTGTGCCCTCACACAGGTTTGATGACAAGTACACCCTGAAGCTGACGTTCATCAGTGGCAAAACCAAACAGCAGAGGGAGGCCGAGTTCACCAAATCCATTGCCAAATTCTTCGACAACAACGGGACCTTAGTCATGGAGGCCTACGAGCCAGAGGTGTCCAAGCTGCACGACAGCCTGGCCCTGGAGAGGAAAACAAAATGATTGCTGACACCTCCTGCCTCCTGGAATGTGCTGAATTAACACCAATAAAGTCAAATGGCAAAGAAAGTCTATCATTGCCTCTGTTTTTGTCCTGAAATCCTACTCCACACAGGATTTTTAATCCTGGATCCAAGATTTGTGGAAGCTTGGTCTGTATTCCTGGCTCTGGGGCAGGCCCTCAAGGAGGATATTGGGAGCCTCATGAGGGGAAACATGTCACTGACACTGCTCTGGTTTCCTCTGCTTTATCAAACAGCTCCATGTCCAGGGGGATTTACCAATCCCACGTTTCCCCTTTGTGTTAGGAATTCAGGACAAAACCCTTCTGTAATTGTCCCCTGCAAATGAGTTTTCTTTATTTTTGTATTTAATTGGGGGTAGAGGATTGTTTTATATAAAACCTTTTATGTGTTGGGGAGAAATCAAAATGCTACTTTGTGTGTTTGGCCACAAAGCTTCTCTAGAAAGTGTAAAAGGGAAGAGGAAGGTTTTCCAAGCTGTGTCTGTCTGTCCCACTGTTCCCTTGTGTCCATGCTATAAACAGGTGTTTTTTAAAAGAGGGGTTTTGGGTTGTTTTTTTCAATAAAAGGGAAGAACAGACATCAAACGTGTCCTGGAGCCTCTCTGGGGTGTTTCACAGCTGATGGCAGGGGAGGGAATCCCAGTTCACGGAATCAAGGTTGGAAGACACCTTCAAGGTCATCAAGTCCAACTGTTCCCCCAGCACCACATGTCCCCAAGTGCCACATCCAGGTGTTAGTGTTTCATCCAGTGAAGAGTGCACTCGTCCAAGCCATGTTTCTCCAGGAGAATGCTGGGGGGAACAGTGACAAATGTTTTGCTGAAGTCCAGGTAGACATATCCCCAGCCCTTCCCTCATCCTCTAGAAGACACCACATGTCCCCAAGTGCCACATCCAGGTGTTAGTGTTTCATCCAGTGAAGAGTGCACTCGTCCAAGCCATGTTTCTCCAGGAGAATGCTGGGGGGAACAGTGACAAATGTTTTGCTGAAGTCCAGGTAGACATATCCCCAGCCCTTCCCTCATCCTCTAGAAGAGTCACCTCATCATAGAAGGAGATCAGGTTGCTCAGGCAGGACATGTCTTTCCCAAACCCCACACTGGCTGGGCCTGATCCTTGGTTGTCCTGCATGTGCCGTGTGATGGCACTTAGGATGATCTGCACCATGGCCTTGCCTTGCACTGAGGTCAGGCTGACAGGCCTGGAGTTCTCTGGATTCTCCTTCTAACTCTTCTTGTAGACAGGCCTCACATTTGCTGATTCCCAGTGAACTGGGACTTCTCCAGTTCACCAGGACTGCCCTGGGAGCTGGGTATCCCAAGGTTTTGGTATTAAAGACAGGCAAAGAAGGGGTGAAGTACCTCAGCCTTTCCCTCACCGCCTGACACTCTCCCACCCTCTGCATCCAGCACAGGATGGAGACTCTCCTTGGCCCTCCTTTTGCTGCCTATTTATTTATTTATAGAAACTTTTCCTGTTGTCTTTGGCCACTGAGGTTAAAGACAACAAGAAATGTTTCTATAAATAAATAAATAGGCAGTTGGTGGCCTGGGAAGTTTCGGTTTGGCTTTGGCCCTTCTAATTTTCTCCCTACATCACCTCACAACATCCTTGTGGTTTCCACCCCCCAAGTTTCCTCTCTTCCTTCCAGAGATGATCCACTCTTTTCTTTGCCTAAGTTCTCTGTTTAACTAGGCCAAGATTTTTCCCCACCAGTTTATCTTATGGCACATGGGAACAGCTGCTCCTGGAGCTTGAGGATTTCCTTCTTCAAGTGCATCCAGCCTTCCTGGATTCCTTTGCCCTTCAGGACTGACTCCTGTGTAAAACACACCATGGTCAAACCCCCCAGAATTCCACCAATGGCACTAGCCCCTAAGCCATGTGTTAATCAGGGTAAGTTTTCCTGTTTCTTTCAGTATTCCCACTTGATACTGATGGAACTGAGAACTTGACCTGTACACCTCCACCTCTGAACAACTGCCTCAGTGTCCTGAAGTCCCTTTTGAGTGCCCTAGGTCTTTGTCCCTCCATCTCCTCCCTACCAACCTGGACAACAAACAGCATTGGGCCATACAGATCAGGGACTTTCTCACCCAGGCCCCGGAGAGGGAGCAGAGTTCCCTGAGGCATGGTCCCTCAGAAGGGAGTGGACAATGATCACCCTTCTTTTTTATCTCTGTATTGCTGGTTGGGGTTAACTGACTCACCCTCGGCAACCCCCAATGGTCCTTCATCTACATCATTGTTTTCCTGGCCCTTAGTCTCTAACCTCATCCTCTTCTCAGCGCTCACTCACCATACCTGTTCCACAGGGGCTCCTGGGAAGGTGAGGTTGGCCAGGAGGGGATTCACCTGCCACCCCAAGCATGGACCTCCCTCCATCCCTCCCTTAGGTGCCCTCCTGCCTTTTGGGGAGAGGGTTGGGGCTCCTCGAGAGTGGTTCTACCACTCAACCTCCTCCTCAAACACCTGGATACTCCATCTTTCCACCTCTGTACGCTGCGCTGAGTGGACCATAGAATCACAGCATTTTAAGATCACCCACTCCAAGCGTCCCCCAGCACTGCCACTGCTCACACCTCACACAGTATTGCCCCTGCCGCCCTCGGACAGCAGTGCCAGGCTGGGGCACAGTCCCCACGCAGCACCGCGCCCTGCCCGCTCCCTC